AAATTCTATTTAAAATAACTGTAGGCAAAAAAAATATTTGGGAGTCTACCTGCCAAAATACACACACAGGAATCATATGAACACAATTACCAAAAAATTCTTCACACAGATGACAATACTGCCTAAATTAATGTACTTATTCAATACCACACCCATCAGACTACCAAAGAATTACTTTATAGAGCTAAAAAAAAATAGTAACAAAATTCATCTGGAGGAACAAAAGGTCAAGAATATCAAGGGAATCAATGAAAAAGTGAAAAGGAAGGGCATCTAATATTACCAAATCTCAAACTATATTATAAAGTTGTAATCATCAAAATAATTTGGTACTGGATGAGAAATAGAGGGGTTGATCAATGGATTAGGTACACAGTTAGGTACACAATATATAGAAACAAATGAGTACAGTAACATAGTGTTTGATAAACCCAAACACTAAGCTACTAGGGCAAGAATTCACTATTGACAAAAACTGCAAGAAAACTGAAAAGCAGTCTGGCAGAAACTAGGCAAACATCAGCATCTAATGCTGTATACCAAAAAAAAGGCAAAATGGTACATGATTTAGACATAAAGGATGATATTATAAGCAAATTAGAGGGGCATGGAAAAAATTACCTGTGAAATCTATGGATAGAGGAAGAGTCATGATCAAACAAGTGCTAGAGAGGTACGCAGTAGATAAAATGAATAATTCTGATTACATAAAATTAAAAAGCTTTTGCACAAACAAAAGCAATGCATCCAAAATTAGAAGAAAAGCCAGAAAGGGGGATGAAGGGGGGAAGGCATTTATAGCATATTTCTCTGATAAAGGTTTTATTTCTCAGACATAAAAGAATTGAGCCAAATTTATAAAAATAAGAGCCATTCCCCAACTGATAAATGGTCAAAGGGCAGGAATGGGCAGTTTTCAAAGGAGGAAATCCAAGCTATCAATAGCCAAAAGAAAAAATGTTCTAAATCACTAATAATTAGAAAAATGAAAATTAAAACAACTCTTTAGTACCGCCTTCACACCATCAGATTGGTTAAGATAATATAAAAGGAAAATGACAAATGCTGGAAGGGATGTGGGAAAATAGGCACAGTAATGATGCACTGTTGGAGTAATAATGCAATTGCATGGAGCAATGAACTAATCCAACCATTCTGGAGAAGAATTTGAAACTATGCTCAAAGGACTATAAAACTGTGCATACCCATTGACCCAGGAATACCACTACTAGCTCTGTATCCCAAAGAAATCAAAGAAGAGGAAAAGAATCCACATATTCAAAAATATTTATAGCAGCTCTTTTTGTGGTAGCAAAGAAATGGAAACTGAGAGAATTCTATGATAGATGATTAATTGGACCCCTATTTTATTCCACTCAGGTTTAATCAGTTTGATATGATTCCATAGGAGTAGTGATTATAAGTTCTGACAGCAGGCCTTAGAGCTGTGAACTGCAGATTGTAAATTCACTTGCTTAATCATAGGAAGCTAACCAGAGGACCTCCACCCTTATTTTTCCTTGTTTATGGTGACCAAGCCCAGCATGTCAGAGGTGACTCAATTACATGGAAAGTCCTCCAAGCTATTTTTATTGCCTCTCCATCCCCTGTCATCCGTCTATTGCCCAACATGGGGAGATGACCATAAGCACATAGCTAATGAGTGACCCTGGTTGCTGGACTATGGCCTGCCCTTCTACTAGCCCATCAGCCCAAACAGGTGTTCTGACATCTGCTTATCAGCCCAGCTTTGCTCATCACTTTGACAGGACCTCCTGGAAGGTCAAGAAAGGATTGTAAAGGTCTGCTCACTAGCCCATTTGTCAACCAATGGGATTCTGTATTTTGTGTAGACCCTCCTAGAGGGTTAAGGGCACATCTACCCACCAATCAAAATCTGTATTTTTGGCCTGCTCCACCTGTATTATCCAGGTACCAAGCACTATAAAACTAAGGCTCTTGAGGAAGGGGGCATCTCAGATCATGAGAAAGATATGAGGACCACTTCATTAGAGGTGACCATGGACCCTTTAATAAAGTGCCATTAGCTTAGAGCTCTGCCTCAGTGGTTTCTTTTTTTGCTTGTTTTCTTGCAGATTGGACAATTTTGAAAATCTCCACAATGCCCATAAATTAAGGAATGACTGAACAAGTTACAGTATATGAATGTGATGCAATACTGTTTTGCTAGAAAGACCTAAGTGAAGTGATGCACAATAAAGTGAGCAGAGTCAGGGCAGCTAGGTGGCACAGTAGATAGAGCTCCGCCTTGGAGTCAGGAGGACCTGAGCTCAAATCTAGCCTCCAACACTTGACAGTTACTAGCTGTGTGACCCTGGACAAGTCACTTAACCCCAATTGCCTCACCAAAAAAAAAAAGGGGGGGGGTAGAGCCATAATAACAAGGCACACAGTAATAGCAATATTGTAAAGATGGTCAGCTGTGAAACCCTTAGAAACTCTGTTCAAGTCAATGATCCACCAAAATTCCAAAGGACTCATGATGAAAAATTTTATCCACTTTCCGAGAGAGAACTGATGAATTCTGAGTGAAGCATATTTTTCCCTTTATTTTTCTTATTTTTTCCCCAAAACATGGCCAAATGTTTTACTTGACTTCATATATATAAAGGGTAATCTATTCCTTGCCTTCTCAATGGGTGGGAGAAGGGCTGAAGAGATGGAAGGAATTTGGAACTGAAAATAAAAATAATTTTTTTTAAGTTTATTGAAGATCCACAAGGATCTGAATCCAAATGTTCCTGGGATCAATTTCCAGTGAGGGGAAATAAAGGAGAAATGGGCACAGTGAGGTAAATGAAACGAATTTGAAATATTCTCAAATTCAACTATCAGTTTTGGCAGAGTCCTACAGTAAGTTTTATTTTCATCATAAATATAAGCTATTTATATGCTTTTCTTTCCCTCTACATAGCAGGGAATTTGAATTCCTTATTCATAGCAGGTCACAAGTGTCTTCCTTGTACTAAGAGGGCACAATATAAGCTCCCTGAAGAGGCTCAGGCCTAAAGAATTAACAAATTAATAAAGAATTAATATTCCTGCCATACTCTGCTTTGATTAGATCAGATCTGTAGAACTGTGCTCATTTCTGGGAACCACGTTTTAGGAAGAACATTAGTAAGCTGGAAAGTTTCCTCAATACGGCAGCAGGGTTAGTGAACGAGACTGCAATCATGAACCTCCAGTCATGAAGATCAGCTGAAGGAACTGAGGATATTTAGCTTAGAAAAGCAAGTGTGATATGATAACCTTCAAGTATAAGAAGAGCACACTGCTAAACAAACATGATTAAGGAGAAGGGTCAGATTCCAGATATAGGAAACAACATGAACAACAATATACAGAGACAAAAAAGGGTAGGATGAGAGTGAGTAACAGAGAAGGAGCCAAGTGGGCTCTAACATTGAATTGTGAAAGTAAGCAGTATAAAATAAGGCTGGAAAGGTAGATTAGAGACATCCTATGCTAGACCTTAAATGCAAAGACAAAAACACATATATTTTATCTAGTGGTCAACTAGGAGCTGTTGAAAGTATTTCAACTAAGGAATAATGTGACCAGATCAGTATATTAAGATGATTATCATATCAGATCAGTGAAAAATGGACTGAAGATATTTGGTTCAAGATCAGTCATGAAGCTACTAGTCCACTGACAGAAGAATACACACAGTAAATGCTCAATAAATATTTAAGTTGTGTACATGAGGGGAAAAAAACAGTTTTCTCCTTGGCCTCATTAGCATTTTAACACTAAGCCACTAGGTAACTCAAAGAATCATAGAACTGGGACGTTACAAATAATCAAAGGAAACTTATACTCAAAGAAATTAAGGGATTTGTCCAAAGCCCTACAACTAGTCAGGAGAAGAGGCAAGATGGATCTCCTGAGTCCCAAATCTAAGACATGAAACTTCCTCTAACATGTCTAAGTACAATAATTTGGCACTAATATTAACTTAAGGTTGGGACACAAATTTCCAGAATTCTGAAGTTCTCATGGGCCAGTTCAAATTTTCAGTAGAGTTGTATCTATTGCAAGCAGTCCAAATAGCATTTTGTTTTGAGATTAAAAGTAAATATGATCCTAAAACCAGCTCAAAGCATGACAGAGTGGAAATTTTGGTTTTAGAGTAAAAGGACCAAGGCTCACAACTTTTCTGGGCCTCATATATAAAATAAGGAGTGATCCTTTTTCAGCCCTAGATAAACAACCCTATGAGCCTAAAGTATTACCACAAATATTAATATATCTTGATTTCTTTTAAATTACTGGCACAAAGCAGGGATCTAGCTGTCAATTTCCATTTTTCTTTAGGGAAAATTAGTTTCAAAGTAGCAGTGACATCATGATGACGATGATGATGACAATGAGGACGACATAGAATTTTACAGTTTATAAAATACTTTCTTCAAACCCATGTGGGTTTGCAGTAAAACAATCTAGAGGCAGAAAATAAGGAGAAAGGAAGAGTCTCAAGGAGATGAAGTGAAAATGAGTAAAAGAAGCAGACGAGGGGGCAGCTAGATGGCACAGTGGATACAGGATTGGCCCTGAAGTCAGGAGGACCTGAGTTCAAATGCCGCCTCAGACCAAACACTTGACACTTACTAGCTGTGTGATCCTGGGCAAGTCACTTAACTCTAATTGTCAAAAAAAAAAAAAAGAAGCAGACTAGGTGGAAGGTACACTAACGGGAATGCCTATTAGGCATACGTGTAACGAGGTGGGAGATAAGACATCACTATTAGTAATTAAGTAGATTACATATTATTTCAATTTTAGAAATGAGGAAATACCTAAAATCATATGGCCAGTATCAGAGCCAGTACCTGAACCTAGGTCTTTTGACTCCAATTCCAGAATTCTTTCTATTACAATATGTTCCCTATGGTACACATGAAAGAAAACCAAGTATTTTGGATAAAAATTATCTGATCTGATAAGTATCACCTACAATATCTATGATTTCCTACCTTTGGAGCTAAAGTTTCCTTTGGCACTGGTTTCACAGTAGCTGTAGGCTTTACTTCTCTTATGATATTTGTGGCTTTGGTTTTTTTCACAAGTACTTTGGCTTTCTCAACTTTCTATGATTAAAAAAAGTTATGGCATTAGTATTAATATCAAGTTTTTCCAACAATTAAAAAGTGTGCAAAAACATACACATCTATAATAAAATTACCTTAGCTACTTGTGTTCCCCTGGTTGTAACTTTATTTCCAATTTCTTCAAGAGCAGCTCTTCTAACAGTAACTTGCATCGTGGCTTTTGAATTAATTCCTTTGTTAACATCCTCCAAACCATTAGACACCTAAAGAAAAGATCATTAAACTTTAGAGACCATGACATATCAAACAGTTGACAATCATTAAAAATGCTCCAAGAAACTGAAAACTATATGATTGTAATGTTCTTTAAAATGATGAGAAAATATTCTCCTCACTTTTTTGGAGAGGTGGGGTGAAATATATCATACTATACTACATTTCATCAGAATCAGCTGAGATAATGATTATTTGGCTAACTGATTATTTTCTCTTTTTCATTTTTTTTTTTTACAAGAGATGGTACTCACGGCTGGGGGAAGGTAGAAGGGCATATTCAGAAAAAAAGAGTGACATAAAAACAAAAGACCAATAAAAAGCATTTCTCAATAGGAAATAAGAAACAGTCTTTTCCCTTAGTATCTTCTACTGTGCTAAAGAGCTCCTTACACTGCAAGGATATTTTAAGGATTCAATATGGTCTGATCTGTAAGAGGATTTGAAGGCTTCACAGAAAAATTATTATGGAATATACCACCTAAGACATTTGCTACAAATCCCTGGGATAAAAAGGTACTTATTTTAAAGCCTTCCTTTTTGGAAACCCCGTTTGGAACAATATTGGAAAGCCATTCTGTTCAGATACTTAAAATCAGGTATTAGGGGCAGCTAGGTGGCATAGTGGATAAAATACCAGCCCTGGAGTCAGGAGGACCTGAGTTCAAATCTAGCCTCAGACACATAACACATAACACTTACTAGCAGTGTGACCCTGAGCAAGTCATTCAACCCCACTGCCTAGCCAAAAAAAAAAAAGCAGGTATTACCTTATTATACTTAATTCTGCTTCTTATCAAGTCTTTCTAGGCACTAGAAATGTTTCACTAAAGTAGACCATTTAAAGTTACAGCACTTTTTACAGCTTTCTTGTACAACAGTAATATTTAGAACTGAACTTGATTTCTTGCAGAAAGAACTATTTTAGATACCAAAGGTGTGAGGGCTAAGGATGATAAATTTTCCTATATGCAATAAAAATATAACCTACTAACAATGAATTGAATCGGCTCTAGATAAACTTGCTTAGGGGAAAAGAAAACAAAAACTTCCCATGCATGATGACAATAGTTAGCTACTTAAAAATCTTTAAGTTATAATGTAACTATCATCAGTTACTATTTTATAAGGATAGATACATGCTGGGCCCATATGGCCTCAAAAGAGCCTTTTCAAGAATGGGTTTTGCAATTTTTACAAAAATCCAGTGTCTCCGATAAAGGTCTCATTTCTGAAATATATAGAGAACCAAGTCAAATTTATAAGAACATAAGTCATTCCCCAATTGATAAATGGTCAAAGGATATGAATAGGCAGTTTTCAGATGAAGAAATTAAAGCTATCTATAATCATAAGAAAAAAATGCTCTAAAACACTATTGTTTAGAAAAATACAAATTAAAACAAGTCTGAGGTATCAAATCACACTTAACAGATTGGCTAACATGATAAAACAGGAAAATTATAAATGTTAGACAAGATGTAGGAAAACTGGAACACTGATGCATTATTGGTGAAGCTGTGAATTGATCCAACCATTCTAGAGAACAATTTGGAACTATGCCCAAGGGGCTATAAAACTGTGCATACCCTTTGATCCAGCAATACCACTACTAGGTCTGTACCCCAAAGAGATCATAAAAAAGGAAAAGGACCCACATGTACAAAAATATTTATAGCAGCTCTTTTTGTGGTGGCAAAGAATTAGAAACTGAGAGGATGCCAAGCAATTGGCTGAACAAGCTGTACTATATCAATATAATGGAATACTTTTGTTCCATAAGAAATGGGGAGCAGGCAGACTTCAGAAAAATCTAGAAAGACCTACATGAACTGATGCTGAGTGAAATGAGCAGAACCAGGAGAAAACTGTACACACTAACAGCAACATTGTGTGATGACCAACTTTGTTATACTTAGCTCTTCTGAGCTACGCAAACATCTAAGAATTCCAAAAGACTCATGATGGAAAATGCTATCCACATCCAGAGAAAGAACTATGGAGTTTGAATGCAGATTGAAGCACACTATTTTCTCTTTCTTTTGTTGTTTTTTGCTTTTTCTTTCTCATGGTTTTTCTCTTTTGTTCTGATTCTTCTTTCACAACATGACTAATGTGGAAATATGTTTAATATGATCATACATGTATAGCTTACATCAGATTGCATGCTGTCTTGGGAAGGGGGGAGTGGAGGGAAGGAGGAAAAATTTAGTACTCAAAATCTTATAAAAGTGAATGTTGAAAACTAAAAATAAATATTTTTTTTTCTAAAGAATGGGTTTTGGTAAAATGACTAAGATATACGTCAGACCAACGAGAATCAAGCTAATCAGTATACAGGAGTTTTGGCTATTAAGAATGTGAAGAGTTTAGAAGATGTACCAAATTCTCTTCTTTGCACAGTTTGGAAACAAGGGTCTAAGGATATGGAATATTGCATGTACTATCAGACACAATCCTATTCTCATATTAGAAGAGGATTTCAATATACATACTGATGGAGGGTGGAGCCAAGATAGTGGAGAAAAGGCAGGGACTTGCCTGAGCTCTCCCAAATTCCCCTCCAAACAACTTTAAAACAATGCCTCAAAATGAATGCTGGAGCAGCAGAACCCCCAAAAGGTTTAGGGTGAAACAATCTTCTAGCCCAATATAACTGAGAAGGTCAGCGGGAAAGGTATGTCACACCGGGGTAAGAGTGGTACACAGCACAGTATAGGCTGCCTTGGGCAAGCCAGCAGCCAGACTCTGAGCCCTGGCTCAACCAGCAGTAAAGCACTAGGGCCCTGTACCAGGCAACCTTGATCCCAGCTCCTCCTTAATGTTTTCCAGAAGACTGCCCACACAAGCATCACCAGTCTTTTTCAGATCTTCCTATAAATACTGGCTCCTTCCCTGCTATCTACAAACATGTCTGGGGACCATCTCCAATCCTCCTGATCTATATCTTGCCACTGGACCCAGATAGCTCTGGAGGAAGCAGGGAGGCTGGTGACTTTGCACAGCCCTCCCTCAAAACCAATTCACTTGTAAGTCATGGCATCACCTTCCTGATGTCATGGTCCTCTTCAAGAACTATGGACAAACAACAACAACATGCCCATGTTTCCCCCTAGTCTTAAAAAACACTTAGATTCTGACCTTAATATTAAATCATCCTAAAAGTAACCAATGATCTCTTAACTACTCTTTCCAAAATTCTCAGTATTCTTTTAATTGCCAAATCTAACGACCTCTTCTTAATCCTGATAATTCTTGATCACTCTGCAGAATTCTGACACTGTGGATCACTTCTTTCTAGATATTCTCTGTTTAGGTTTTCCTCCTTTCTTAGTTAGGCCTCTTCTTTCTCAGTGTCTTTTGCTAGTTTTTCATTGAGGTTATACCCATTAATCATGTTATCCCTCTTTTCTTTTTTTTTGGGGGGGGTAAGGCAATCAGGGTTAAGTGACTTGCCCAAGGTCACACAGCTAGTAAGAGTCATGTGTCTGAGGCTAGATTTGAACTCGGGTCCTCCTGATTCCAAAGCCAGAGCTTTATCCACTGTGCCACCTAGCTGCCCCCATCACGTTATCCCTCAAAGATCTGTCCAGGGCCCTTCTTTTTTTCTCTAAACAATCTCACTTAGTAATCTCATCAGACTCCAAGGGTTCAGTTATCATCTCTATGCAAATCATATCCAGATAAATATACTTAGCCCTGATTCATGAGTTCCAGGCAAGCAGAAATTGCTTTTTGGAAATTGTGAATTGTGCATCCCATAGACAAATCAAACTCAATATATCCAAAACAGAGCTCATTACCTTAAACTCTGCCTTCTTCCAAACTTCCGTATTACTTGTCATCAAACTGCTTGGTACTGGCTAAGAAATAGAGTAGTGGATCAGCGGAATAGGTTAGGTATGCAAGACACAGCAGTCAGTGACGGTAGTAATCTACTGTTTGATAAACCCAAAGACCCCAGCTTCTGGGATAAGAACCCACTCTTTGACAAAAACTGCTGGGAAAAGCGGAAAAGAGTACGGCAGAAACTAGGCACTGACCAACCGATATACCATATACCAAAACAAAGTCAAAATGCGTGCACAATTTAGATATAAAACTGATACCATAAGCAAACTGGGAGAGCAAGGAACGCATATGTAGAGCCGACGTCAGATTTCTGGAGAATGGAAGAATTTACGACCAAGTAAGAAATAGAGAACATTATGAAATTCTGATTACATTAAATTGAAAAGTTTCTGCACAAACAAAGCCAATGCAACCAAGATTGGGAGGGAAGCAGAAAACTGGAAAAGAATTTTTACAACCAGTGTTTCTGATAAAGGCCTCATTTCTAAAATATATAAAGAACTAGGTCAAATTTTTAAGAATACAAGTCATTCCTCAGTTGATAAATGGTCAAAGGATATGAACAGGCAGTTCTCAGATGAAGAAATTAAAGCCATCTATAGTCATATGAAAAAATGCTCTAAATCACTATTGATTAGAGAAATGCAAATCAAAACAATTCTGAGGTACCACATCACACCTATCAGATTGGCCAACATGACAAAACAAGAAAACGATAAATGTTGGAGAAGATGTGGGAAAACTGGAATACTAATGCATTGTTGGTGGAGTTGTGAAATGATCCAACCATTTTGAAGAGCAATTTGGAACTATGCCCAAAAGGCTATAAAAATGTGCATGCCCTTTGACCCAGCAATAGCACTTCTAGGTCTGTCTCCCAAAAAGATCATAAAAAAGGGAAAAGGACCCACATGTACAAAAAATATTCATAGCAGCTCTGTCTGTGGTGGCCAAGAACTGGAAATTGAGAGGATGCCCATCAACTGGAGAATGGCTGAACAAGTCGTGGTATCTGAATGTAATGGAACACTATTGTGCTATAAGAAATGATGAGCAGACAGACTTCAAAAAACCTGGAAAGACTTGTATGGACTGATGCTGAATGAAGTGAGCAGAACCAGGAGAACACTGTACACAGCCAACAACCACATTTTGGGATGACTAACTTTGATAGACTTAGCTCTTCTCAGCAATGCAAAGATCTAAGACATCTCTCCAAAAGTGTCATGACCAAAAATGCTATCCACATCCGGAGAAAGAACTATGGAGTCTGAATGCAGATCAAAGCATACTATTTATTCTTTTTTTCCTTTTGTTTTGTTTTGTTTCTTCTTTCTTGTGGTTCCTCCTATTGGTTTTAATTCTTCTTTACAACATGAATAATGTGAAAATATGTTTTATAGGAATGTATATGTAGAGCCTATATCAGATTGCACTCTGTCTTGGGGAAGAGGTGGAGAGGGAAAGGGAGAAAATTTAAAACTGAAAAACTTATGGAAGTGAATTTTGAAAACTAAAAATAAATTAATTTTTTTTAAATTGTATATGCAATGCAAATGTAAATTGATATCAGAGGCTCAGCCCCAGGGGATAAGAGGGGGAGGGCAGGAAAAACCTCCAGCAAAGAAAGTGAGATTTTTGAATCTTGAAAGAAGCCAGGGAAGTCAATAAGCAAGGATAAAGGGAGTGAGACTTATAATCATGGGAAACAGTCAGTGAGAAGGCAAGGAATAGAGAGATGGCTGTATTGCTCATGAGAAACGGCAAGGACATGAATCTGGATAGTAGAGTACAGCGAGGAGAGTACATTGTAAGAACAGACCAAGGTGTAAAGAGCTTTGAATGCCAAACTGGGTTTCGTGATCCTGAAGGTAATAGGGAGCCACTGAAGTTTACTGAGCAGGGGAGTGACCTGGCAAGTCTTGTGCTTTAGGAAAATTACTTTGGCTTCTGAATGATAGACTGGAGTAGGGAGAGACTAGTAGTAGGGAGACCATCCAACAGGCTATTGCAACCATCCTGGTCTGAGACGATGAGGACCTGGACCAGGGTGGTGACACTGTCAGAGGGCAAAGGGGGCGGGATATGTGAGCTGAGAGAGAGAGTGGAAGATGACACCAAGGTTGTGTGCCTGGATTGCAAACCCAGGCAATGAGAACGTGAAGGACCTAAGATGAGAGGCAAACCATGACAGCAGTGTCTCCAAAACTTAGAAGAGAAGGTCCCAGAGGTCTGAAGGGGAAGAACTGGGATTCGAGCCCGGATCCCCGACTCCAGATTCTGGGCCCTCCAGAAAATGACGGCGCCACCTCCGAGTGATGGAGATTTTAGGGTCAAGATACTGGGGGAGGGCCCTACGTCAGCACACCCCCCCCCGGCGCCCCCAGGAAGGGACGGTAGGAGTGGGGGCGTCCCCGGCGGTGGCAGGGACCAGGGAATCGCCACCACGCCGCTGACTCACCGCGAGGCGTCGGAACAGCGCCATGGGGACCGGGACAGGCCAGAGCAGGGGCCGCAGGGACTTGGCAGGACACAGAGAAGCGACACGATCCCACCAGCAGAACCTGGTCCCAGGATCACGCCGCCACCGCCGCCGCCTCTCAGCCCTCCGGTCGGAATTCAAATACCGCACCGCTCGCACTCTCATTGGCCCCTCCGCCTGACGATGCGCTCTTCTGATTGGGCGACCGATCAGACACACCTCCCCCCACTACACGTTGATTGGCTGTTTCCAGGGACCCGTTGGGATGTTACAGCAATTGGGAATTCTTTTTCCCGTATATATAGGGGGTTTTAAGTAAAAAAATACATTTTTTAATTAAAAAGTGGCTGAGAGGAAATAGAAACAAAATGGATCTGAGTCGGACGACGGAAATGCAAAACTGGAAAACTTTCCATCCCTTTGTATAAAATCCAAGGCCTGACGACATCTCGCGATATTTCTACCAGATTGGGCGGAAGCTAGGGCCGTGGAGCATTCTGGGAGTTTAGTTTCCTTCCTCTGTGGCCTGAGCCGGAAATTGGAGCTCAGAGTTTTGGGTCATCTTTCCTAAGCTATTTGGCTACTTGTTCGACGTAATATTGGGGCTGGCGTGCTGTGGCACTTTCTTCATTACTTCTGCCTTGGAAGAAGGGCGGAAGGAAGGCTCGTGGGGGAACGCACGTGTGCCTCCCTGACGCCTCAGCAAGTGCCCACTTACCTCCCTTCCATTACTTCCTAGCCCCCTGAGAGAATCAGAAATCGGAAATACTCTTTAGGGACTCCTTTCCTCCCCAAAATATCCAAGCCCAAGAAGGGATGCGAGGGGATCGAAAGGGCCGAAAGAAGTGCTGCTGGAAGATTCCAATTAGATCCCTCTCTCCAGCACTGAAGGCATTTATGTGGGGATGGGGAGGAGAGCGGAGCGGGGAAAAGGCATAGAGAAAAATTCTGTACAAGTCAATTTTTAGCATTTAGCATGTATCGAGGGTCTGCTATGTAACAGGTTCTAGCAAGAGATGTCCTGAAGATATCAAATTTTTTGTGTAAGATGATAAAAACTATTTCATGTCTCCAGGCAAAGTAGAGGAGAGCAATAGAATTATAGATCTCTCAAAGAGCAGAGGCTAATTCCTGTGCTTCATATTCAATAAACATTCATTATGCTCTTACGATAAGCAACAGTCCACTAGCAGATGAAAGCCATACAAAAATAAATGAGGCAGCCCCTGCTCCCTTTCCTCCCCCAGCTCCAAGAACCTTAAAATTTACAATCTAGCAGTGCTAGTAGAATGTATGCTGTACAACAACAGTTAAAATAAGTAGTAGGACAAAAGTAAAAGATATACAACTAAAGTGTTTTTTAAAAGTTTTAAAGAGTTTTAAGGAAGTAAAGATACTTCTGACTGGAAGGCTTGGACAAAAAGCTCCCATGGATTAAACGGAAATGAATGGAAAAAATACAAGACTTTACCTATGGATGTGAGAGGTAAGGGAAAGAAAAGAACCAAAGGAGTATAAAATATTTTGGAGTCTACCTATTTACTTAGTTTACTTTTTCCGTGTCATACCAATCAAACTACAAAAAAATTATTTTTAGAGCTAGAAAAAAATAATTAAAAAAAAGGTCATGAATATTAAGGGAATCGATGAGAAAAAAAAAGTGAGGGAAGGCTGCCTAGGAGTACCAAAATCCAAACTATATTACAAAGTGATAATCATGAAAATAAAATGGCACTGGCTAAGAAATAGAATAGTGGATCAGTGGAATAGATGAGGTATACAATAGACAGAAGTAAATGACCACAGTAATCTAGTGTTTCAGAAACCCAAATCCTAAGCTTTGAGGGCAGTAACTCAACATTTGACAAAAACTGCAAGGAAAACTGGAAAGCAGTCTGGCAGAAACTAGACATAGACTGAGATCTCACACCAAATACCAAGGTAAGGTTAAAATAGGTACAGTATTTAGACATAAAGGGATGTATCATGAGGAAGTTAGGTAAGCATGGGAAAAAATGGCCTGTCAGATCTATGGATAAGGGAAGATTTTATGATCAAACAACAGATAGAGACAATCATGGGAGATGACATTGAAAATTACAAAAAGAATGATTGAATGAATAAGTTATGATCCTCACCACTGGAGGAAGTATCACCAGTCAATAAACTTACAATCAAGTATTTACAATGTGATGGGCATTGTTCTAAGTGGTGGAGACACAAAGAAGGTAAAAAACACCAAATAGGCAGTATCTACATTAATAAGATCTGCTGGATCTGTTGAAGCACTGAAGAAGGATGTGAGAGGAGGAGACCAAAAACTCCTGGCCTGGACTGCTAGGTCTGCATCCTGAAGGGAAAAGGACTTCCTTGTGCAAAAAAATTTTAGCAGCTCTTTTTGTGGCAGCTGAGGATTGAAAGTTGAAGGGATGCCCGTCTACTGAGGAATGGCAGAACAAGTTGTGGTATATGACAGTAATCGAATATTATTGTGCTATAAGAAATGACAAACAGTATAATTTCAGAAAAACCTGGAACTGATACAGAAAAGCATGAACTGGTACAAAGTGAAGAGCAGAACCAAGAGAACTTTGCACACAACAGCAACAATATTGTATGATGAACGATGAATGACTCGGCTTTTCTCAGTAATACAATGATCCAAAACAATCCCATAGGACTCATGATGAAAAATGCTATCCACCTCCAGAGAAAAAATTAATCTTGTTTGAATACAGACTGAAGCTTTTTCTTTCTTTCCTTCCTTCCTTCCTTTTCTTTCTTTTTTCTATCCTCTTGTACAAAATGACCAATATAGAAATGTTTTACATGATTGCACATATATAACATATCAGATTGCTTACCCATCTCAGGGATGGGGGAAAGGAAGGAGAGAGGGATAGAATTTGGGACTCAAAATTTTTTTAAAAAGTGTTAAAAATTGTCTTTGCATGTAATTGGGGGGTGAATAAAATATTATTTTTTAAAAAAACTGGCCTAGGAAGCATGGATGACTAGAAGGGTAATGCCATCAATTGAAAATGTAAAGTTAGAAGGAAGAACAGGAAGCATATTTACTTATTTATTCATTCATTCATTTATTTTCATGAGGGAAGAGTATAGATCATAAGTGCAGTTTTGGAAATGTTGAGTTTGAGGGGCTTGTGAGATATCAAAATGGACATAGGTAGTTGGCAGTTAGAAATATGAGTATGGAGCTCCAAAAAGAAGTCTAGTTTTGGGAATCAAATTGTTTGTTTGTTTTTTGGTGAGGCAATTGGGGTTAAGTGACTTGCCCTGGTTCACACAGCTAGTAAGTATCATGTATCTGAGGCTGGATTTGAACTCAGATCCTCCTGACTCCAGGGCCAGGGCTCTATCCATTGTGCCACTTAGCTGCCCCTGGAAATCAAATTTTGAAAAATAAAAATATATATAGTCAGAGAAGAAGAGGGCTGAAAATGCCTGTATTAGGTGGTTACATGACAGAAGAATCATCAGCGGAGATGAAGAATCAGAGAAGTAACAATAGAACCAAAAGATTACAGATATGTAAACCACAAGAGGAGACAGTGGTATCAAGTAAGGAGTGGTGAGGTGGCTTGAATGCTTTAGAAAGAACAAGAAGGATGAGGACTGTAAAAAGGGCATTGGGTTTGGCAATTAGGAGGTTACTTAGCACCTTTTGGAGAGTGATTTCAGTTAATGAAGAGGCTAGAAACTGGACAGTTAAGTAAGCACCTACCTAACACTGTCTTGCATAAAAAAAAAAGTTTGTTGATGAATTTTGAGCTGATATTCTTTTTAAATTCAGGGAAACCCTGAATTTTAATTTCCTGTTCCTCATATCCACTCCCATATGTCCACTCCCTCCCAAATTGGAGAGGACTCTTGACTGAACCAGTCGAGTACAAGGAGACAAAGTAGGAGTGAGAGAGGCCAAGATATCAATGCATCAAGCCAGATCTGCATAGGAATTGTGAGGGGCAGCTAGGTGGTGCAGTGGATAGAGCACCAGCCCTGAAGTCAGGAGGACCTGAGTTTAAGTCTGGCCTCAGACCAAACATTTGACACTTACTAGCTGTGTGACCTTGGGCAAGTCACTTAACCCCAATTGCCTAAAAATTAAAAAAAAAAAAAGAATGGATAGGAATTGTGAGAGCAGGTATAGGGAGATAGGTTTTTCTTTATTCTGCTGGTGCTTTCCCCCTTCATAGGCCCCCTCCATTGGGGCTTAAAAAATGATAAATATTTAGGTTTTATAGATGCCGTGTGTTCTGGAGACAGCTAGGTTTCCATTCATGCAAGATGATGGAAAGTGAGTTGAGAGATCCAGGAAAAACTATTCTGGGAAATATTTGGAATTCTACTAGAAAAAGTAACTTTTTAACTTTTTATATGCCACTATAAGGCATATACTCCAAGGATACCAAAGGAAAAATTCTCATACCTTTAAAGTATTTATGGAAAAAAATGTTTTGAGGCAGCAAAGAACTAGAAGCAAAATGAGTGCCTATCAATTTGGAAATGACTGAGGAAATTGTGTTATGTGAACTCAGTGGAGTATTGTATGATACAACAACACAATCATTTTAAATGTGTGAAGTATTGTAAAACAAAGCAGAATCAAGAGAACAAATTACAGAAAGGTCACAATAATGGTAAAGAAAAATGACACTGATTGGCATAAGAACTCTGATCAGTGCAGTGACTAATTATCACTTGGATTGTTGATAAAGTATGCCTTCTCATCAGAGAGGTACTGGACTATAAGAATGGAATGAAGCCTGTTTTGTTAGATATGAGCAATACGTTGATTTGTTTTGCTTAATTGTAATTCTATTTGAAATTGAATTAAATTAAAATTTCTATTGGGGTCAAGAGAAGTCATTGGAAAGAGATGATACATCTAAAAAAAGAGCATCAGTAAAATGCTTTTAAACAAAAGAGATCCAGAATAAAGGGGAGCTTATTTAGCAAAAGGGAAGTAGGTGCATTCTGGAGAGTACAAAGGAATGGTGGAGCAGAGAATATGAACTCTGAAGAAGGCCTGAGGTGAATAGAAATGAGAGTATGAGGAGAGTTAGGAGAAGGAAGAGAGTGAGGCGATAGCTTTAGCAGGGATTGACTCTGAATCATAGGATTAAGGGG